CAAAGACCTGGCGAGAAAAAGCAGGGATACTGGGAGCCAAGAGTGGCCGAGGGGCAGGACCAGCCACTCAGCCGTGGGTCAGAGGGCAGGGAAGAAAGGACAGATATGAAAGAGATACAGAGAGTGGGAGACAGAGACCGGGGCCAGGAGAGGAAGCAGACGAGACCCCAGGCCTGAGGGAAGGGGGAAGAGTCTGTGGGAAGCCCCAGTGAGACCCAGAGGCCGGGCCCAGGGCTTAAGGCAGTGGTTGAGGGGGATGAGCCATGGAGGGGCAGAGGGCTGGGGAGAGGGTCTGGACAAACCCTGTGCATGTCGAGGGGCTTGTGGGACCTGCCTCCCACAGCATACAGAGCCGTGTCCACGGCTCCCAGTGCCACCAGGGCTGGGGAGTCGGTCTGCAGGCGGAGCTTTGCACTTTCCCCAGCACGATAGTCCTTGGCACCGTCCACGCTCAACTCCAGCTGGCAGGGCAGGGGGTGGGAGAAGTCAGAGTGGAAGAGCTCCTTTCAGTCCCGGCATCCTTGCTGCACCCCAAGCTAAATCCATGCTCTCCTAGCAATCACCCTGGCCTCCGCCATCTCTCCTGACCCCGGTTACCTTGCCCTCGCAGGCCCCGGCCTGGACGTCCACTCGCAGGGAGTTGGCCACTGGCAGGCCTCTATGGTAGTAGAAGGCCACAAAGTAGAAGGAGGGCACCAGGTGATGGTCCACGAACACAGAGACCGTGGTCAGGGTCCTCCGGGGCTCGCGGCTCACAGACACGATCTCACCCCGGGACAGGATCTGGGCCAAGAAGAGGGGGGACAAGAGTGGTTTTCTCTTCATGGTACAGCCCCAGCCCTGAAGCACCCCCAGCTCCATCCAGAGGGCTCTTCCCCGCACCGCTGCCCTCCTCGACTCCTGGGCTGATGCGCACCATGTAGTAGTAATGAGAGAAGGTAGCCTCGCTGACACCCACAGCTCGCATGTTCAGGTTCAGAGTGTCCCCAACACGAGGGAGCCGAGGATCCGGCCGCTCAATAGACAGAAACCCGGAGGCTTCTGAGGGCGGGGCCCTCACGGTGAGCCGGGCTGTGGCTGGGTGGAGGGAGCCTGCGGACACCTAGAGAGAGGGCAGAGGGGCCAATGGCAAGGACCTAGGTACCGCACTCCTCCCCGCAGGCTGGGCCCTGGATCCTCAGGAACCCAGCCTCCCCGTGTCCCTTCCCCCTACCAAGAGCTGCAGCTCTGAGGTGGTCTGGGGGATAACGATGGGGATGCTGACTCGGCCGCTCCCATCTGTGTTTTGTTGAAAGTCCTGGAGTTTAGAAGCAGACCCAGGAGAAGACAACGTGGCAGAAACTTTGACAGGAATGCCAGAGGCCGGGGAGCCAGACATGTCTCGGACCAGGGCCTATGCGGGCAGGGGAGGGGCCGGTAAAAGAGAGTGGTCAGTGAGACCCTGTGCCCTCCTCACCAACGCTCGTCCCCCTCCTCAGCCTCCGCCTCTGGAAGAAACCTGCAGCAGGAAAGGGGCCCCAGGTACAAGGTGTCGCTTGGTGTTGCTAAGATCCAAGGAGAAAGGAGACGACACGAACCGCCAGGATGTGAGCTCTGCCTCCTCCATCTCCCCTCCTGCAAGACAAAGGGCAGAGAGAGGTGGAGGGCAGAGCCCAGGAGAGAGAAACAGGACAGTGAGAGGGGAGAATGGAGCGTTTCCCTCCCGCAAGGCAGTGAGCTCCTCAGGGCACGGGCTGGCTCGAAGCCCAGCCCAGGACATGGCACACGGATGGTATATAACATATGTCCGCTGCATGAGTGAGTGCTCATTCACAAATGCAGGAGCAAAAATAAAATAAAATAAACCGAGCCGGGGAGAGGGGCAGAATCACACAGAGATAGAGTTGGAGGAAGACCAGGGGTCTTTCCTGGCTTTGAGTCTGAGATGAGGCGGGAGATGTCAGGGGTGGTGTTGGTGCTGGAGAACAGAGGGCCCGCTTAGAGGTCGGGGACAAGGGTCTGGGGTTACAATAAGGGAAAGTCAGTCACCTGGAGACTCAATGATGGCTGCTGCAACATAGAGACGCAGCCCCAGGAGGTCAGCAGCATTAATATTAAGCTTCTCCAGGGCAGCCTGGAGCTCCACCTTTGAGAGGGAGATGTGGCTCTGGCCGCCCACCAGCTGGGGCAGAGAATAGAACAGGACGTGGGTGAGGCTGAGCCTCCCACCTCGTCTCCCTCACCTGCCTCACCTCCTTTGCCTCCCCACCCGCCTTCCTACCTTGGTCTGATTCTCCAGCCCCCGAAGGAAAGTCTTCACGCCGTCCTCACCCAGGAGCCCAAAGCGCACGTACGCCACCCCCTGCACTGGCTTCCCGTAGATATACCTGTTGCCACGGGGAAACTGGGAAGAGGCTGGGCCAGGGCTGGGGAAACAATGATCTGGGGAGGGAAGCGGGGTGAACAGCCGCTCGCGCTGAATGGGGAGCCCTGGGAGCAGGACCTGGCGTTGGTGGGCTGGTTACCTGGCCTCGATGTCTAATTCCATGTCGCCAAGATGGTCAGGCACCGTCAGGATGTAGGGCTTTCCAGGGCTGATCTTCACCTCAAAGTTGGGAAGAACTGAGCCAGAGCGAAGGGGTAGACAGGTCAGCCTCTAGTTCAGAGACACCTTCCCCCCAGGGCCGTGGCACCCATATGTCCCTGGCCCTGCCTTTTTCCCACCTCTCTCCTTCCACCCCTATTTCCTTCTGAAAAGCAGTTGCCTGTCCCTTGTGTCACCAGCTCTCACCATATTTCTTCACCTCAAACTGGGTGCTGCGGTTGGATTCCAGGCTATCTGAGAATCGGGCTGAGATCTTCCAGGTCCCTGGCCTGAGGATGGACCAGGAAGGGACTCAGCCCATCTATGCAGGAGGGCCATGAGAGGCAGCGGCCTGCTTCCTGGCGAGAGGACTGTGGGGTTCGCCAGAGGCTCAGGAGGCTCAGGGGGTCGAGGGCATCTTGGGATGTGACTGTGGGGGGAGGGTAGGCAGAGAGCCTAAAGGGAAACAGGAACTGGGGTGGTGTGGCTGGGGGGTAACTCCCAGATCGGGGAGCTCACTCTGAGATGTCCGGGATCCCAAAGTCATCTTGGAAGATGGAGGGAGCGTGCACCTCCTTCTTCAGCACGCGGAAGCCGTTAGAGTTCTACAAGGGGAGGAGAAGTGGTCACGGGGGGGAGGTCACATCAGCGGCCAGGTTCAAGAAGGCCAGAGGTCAGCGACTCACCTCCACCGTGATCGTGATGGTGTCAGTGCACGGGCGCATCTTTTGATCCAGAGTAAAGACCCGGTACCGAACTGGGAATGGAGGACGAGAGAGGTGAGTGGGAGCCCGTGTGTAAAGGGAGGGTGGGCCCAACCCCAGGGAGTGAGGGGAGGACACATATTTGCTAAGCAACCCTCCCGTGTGGCACTTTCTTTAGAGTTACCTCACTTAAGGGGCACCAAACATGTCCTAGTGGGCTGGGAAGGGGATGAAGGCAGCGGCCGTGGGGCCCAGACTCACCCCTCTGGCCAGGGTTATAAATGGGCTGGTCAGTTTGCAGAAAGAGGTGCCCCCGACGAGAGGAGAAGAGCAGGTTGACACCCTGGACGTCTGTGTCTCTGCCCAGAGAGTCCTTCAGCCATGGCGACTGGGCCACCAGCTGGACCTTGGGGCCCCTGAGGAGGTGATGGAGGCCACAGCTCTTCTTGTCTTTCGTGGGGATCTGTCAGGAGAGAAAGAGCGAGTAGGTCAGAGAGCAAGCAGACAGAACAGGACAGACACCAAGACAGAAACATGGAAGGAGACCACTGGGGTGGGAGGAGAGGAGGGGAGGAGGCCAGTGGGAAGACAAAGACCCTTACAAGAAGACAGAGGAGAACAAGATGGGAGGCCCCCAAAAGCGGCAGGTGCGTGTAGGTTCCAGTTACCTGGAGACTGAGAAGTACGAAGTCTTTCTCTGAGCTGAGGGTGAAGCCCACCTTTGGAGAGCAGGGGACATTATTATAGGACGGGTTTCTCAGGAACACTGATCCTTTCACTACCTGTCCTGCGGGCGCATCCTGGAGCTGCACCCCCACTGATAGAGGGACCCCCAGATGAACCACAGAAGGAGAGAACAGGAGCAACCTGGGGAGAACGGTGAGGGCCAACAGTGAGACTTCACTCTGACCCCTTCACCCTGGCTCTCCCTCGCTCCTGAATCAGGTCCCACTGCCAGCCCTGCCCCAACCCCAGCAGCCAGCATTGCGCCTCCAGGACCTGGGCTTCTGCAGAGACAAAGCAAAGAAGCTAGACACCCAGATGAGCCCCCAGAGGAGCCTCATGGCTGCAGGATCCAAGACGGGTCAGATCGCCTGTCCGTCTGCTCCCTTCTGGTCAGTCTAGGGCTTGGGGCAGTTGACTCTGGACCTTGCTCCTCCCCTGGCCCAGCATGGCCGGGAAACCACGTGACAGCCCAGAAATGCAACTGGCCCCAGGCCCAGTGTTGGGGGTGCACCCCAGACACCTAGGTCTCTGAGGGGATCTGAGAGAATCTTGGCCCAGAGATCGATCCGGTCCTCGCCTGTTAACCCCTCTCATCCCAGTGCCTGGACACCTCCTCCCCTGATGAATCTTGGTAGGTGTATGCATGCGCGCCAGCTCCTGTATACATGGGGGTACAAGGGCCCAACATGGCCCAGACATACAGGATATTTAAAGGTCCTAACAAAACATGGATGGGCTTCGAAGACACTTGTCTCTTGTTTTCACCCCAGCACAGACTGAACTATACCAGGCTTTTGCTTTTTGTAGGCCCTAAACGACATTCTGTGGTTTTGGAGATAGGTGCTCTCTCGCCACCCACAAGGAGAACTGATCTGAACGTCAGAGTTAACCCTTTTCCTGTCTGGACAATGGGGCAAAGCTCAGGCCTAGGTTTGGCTTTACCTTTACCCCCAAACAAGGCACTCAAACACACACGTCACAGTAACCAAAGCACATCCAGAAAATACCACAGGCAGAAGTACTTTATTTGGCAATTTCAACACAGCATGTAGGGAAAAGAACCTTGTCCTCCTTCACCAGCCTCCCCAGAAATCCCACTGTCTTATCTCAAGACAGAGGAACAGCAGCCCCTTTTACATGAAAGGCAGCAGCCACAGCCTTGGCACCGCTTCTGGCTCCACTTCCACAGAAGGGCAGAGGAGCATCACCCAAACCCCACCCCTGGCTCAGAGCCCAGGCAGACAGCCGCAGTCACATCTGACCCTTTGCATGGACGAGAGCCCAAGCCTTCCCAAGGTGATCGTGTCTCAGCCACCATCAGGAAGCACTCCAGGACCCCTCTTGGCCCACTCTGGGGAGCTGTGCAATGATGAGCAGAATCCTCAGGTCTCTGGCAGGCGGAGGAGGGTTCCAGAAGTGGTGGAGATGCTGTATAGGAGAAAGACAAGGCTGGTGCCAGACACATAGGCCCATGGTGTAAGGAGAACGGAAAACTTAGCAAGGGGTATTCCTGGGTTCCAGAGAAGAATGACAGAGGAACAGGGCTTCACTAGTGAATTAAGCATGAGCTGGGAGGAAACCTAACCTTGGGTCACTGCTTTGTCACCTGCCAGAGGCAGGGGGCAAGACTCACCGGTCCACCAGCTGGGCCCCAATGAGGTCATGCACATGGTAGGAAAGACCAAGACGCACCGCAGCAGGCGCTCTCCGGCCCAGGAGCTCAGATAGGAGTAGCTCCCGGTACTTGGCCTTGCGGACCATGCCGAGGACAGCCCGGCGCCCTGGAGGAGAGGGGTGGCACAGGAGAGGGGAAAGGTGCATAAGGACTAAAGAACTGAGGAGCCACCAAAAGGTGTTCTTGAGAGGCTGCAGGCTTGAGCTACAGACAGGTACCTTTAACAAAGTACTTGATGAATCTCCCAGCTCCAGGCACGGCTAGCCACCAGCTGCCAGCATCTCGGACGTTGAATACTCCAGCATTCACCAGATGCCTGAGGGCAGTGGGAAGCCAGGCGAGATGAGGCCTGGGCTCTGAGAACCACCTCTCATCCCATCAGTTAAAGTCAGGTCGCTAAGTTTTCGCAAACATGGGCAACCACACAAGGGGGCCTGAATAACAAAGCCCCAACCTCGGGCAGTTCTCGGTGTCCCCTGTTTGTTCCAGTCCCCACCTGGACTGCCCTCCCTCCACACTTCCTTTTCCTGTTACTACTTGCTCATTCAAACAGCTTCTCCTCTCAGAAGCCCTCCTCTCACATGCCCTGACACACTCCCAGTCGTAGGACTGAGGAGAGACATCAGCGTCCTCTGTGCTCCTGCCATGGCCTAGGCATGCCTTGCCCTGGCCCCACCACCTCACCGAAAGTATGTTTCCCCACATGAGATCACTACTTTGGTCTGTTTGTTTCGTTTTTTTTTTTGATGTGCATGTTTAGGGGCACGCCATCTCCTACCAGTCTCTGTCCTCTTAGTCCCATTATGATCACCATCGGGCTTTGATCGTCCCTGCCAGGCCCCTATGTGTGTTTGATAAGTCACCCAGAGCTCCTGAATTCTAGTCCAGGGCTCTTTCCAAGGCCTCAGGTAAGACAGGCCTCCCCTTTTACGGGGAGGAGCACAAACTTTAGGTCATTTTTATTAAAAAGAACAGTCAGGGCCGGGCGCGGTGGCTCACGCCTGTAATCCTAACACTCTGGGAGGCCGAGACGGGCAGATTGTTTGAGCTCAGGAGTTCGAGACCAGCCTGAGCAAGAGCGAGACCCCGTCTCTACCAAAAATAGAAAGAAATTAATTGGACAGCTAAAAATATATAGAAAAAATTAGCCGGGCATGGTGGCGCATGCCTGTAGTCCCAGCTATTCAGGAGGCTGAGGCAGTAGGATTGCTTGAGCCCAGGAGTTTGAGGTTGCTGTGAGCTAGGCTGATGCCACGGCACTCTAGCCCGGGCAACAAAGTGAGACTCTGTCTCAAAAAAAAAAAAGAACAGTCAGACTTTTTTGGCAGGTCTACCAGAAGGAAAAGGAAAAGGCTAGATGGAGCTGGAAAGAGGCAGGGAAGTGCCAGATGCCCAACTCTGTCGGTTCCACAAGTCTCACGTGATCTCTGAGTCCCTGAAGCCAAAGGTCTGTGTCATTTGGTCCTGCTGGAAACTAAGGTCCCCACAGGCCGGAAGCACCAAAGTCAGAAACTTCTGCACTGCCCCAGCATAGGGTCGGCCATCACAGGCCTTGAGGACCTGGAAGCAGAGATGAGAGACATGGGCTGGCCCCACCCTCACCCTCCACCGAGCTCCATCCCCCCGGATTTCTCTTCCTGTCTTCCGTCTTGCTCTGGCACTGCTCCCCTCATGCCCTTGCTTCTCCTCCTCCTTCCCTCCCTCCCCGTCACGTTACTACTTACCAGAGCCCTTTGCCCTCTCCGTGGGATATGGGGTAGAGAAATTGTTTCCTTGTTTTTATTTCTGTCCCCCAATTTCCCTGCCTTGCCCCACCACCCATGACATACACACAGTCACACCTACTCTGGTCCTGTAGTCCTCGGTGAAGATAATTCCATGGGCATCCAAGTCAAAGCCCAGCTGGATAATTCTGATTTCCCCCTGCTCTTGAAGCTCCTTCTGTCTCCACAGAGATGGGAATGAAAAGAAGGGTGTCAGGGTAAGATGCTCTGCTATACTCTGGGGACTTTTAGGCAGGAAAGTTTTGTTTGCCAGTATTGGGGCATTTTTTTCTTAGAAAAGGAAAAACTGTGTGGTAAGACTATCAGGTGCATCAATAAGTAGACTTTTCCAACTAGTTACCCACCCTCGCATCTACCTGCTTTATCAGTAATAAATAATCAATATAATTTTCTGTGACCAGTCATATGCCAGGCACTAAAATAAAATAGTGATTAAGACACAGACCCTGGCTTCACGGAATCAACACTCTAGATTTGGAGTGGAGGAAGGTGGGGAGGAGTATGGGATAAAATGTTTAAAACAAATAAAAATGAACCAGGACTTCTGTTTTTAGGAATACAGCAAGAACCAACTCATGAGTTGAAAATTAAAATTCTGGATAAAATATTATTTAAAAATTATTTAAGCATTAAAGAGCTCACAAGATAACAGAAATTACCAGGCTAACGCTGGGCGCAGTGGCTCACACCTGCAATCCTAGCACTCTGGAAGACCGAGGCAGAAGGATCCCTTGAGCTCAGGAGTTTGAGACCAGCCTGAGCAAGCGCAAGACCCCATCTCTACTAAAAATTAGCCGGGTGTAGTGGCGCATGCCTGTAGTCCCAGCTACTCAGCAGGCTGAGGCAGGAGGATCGCTTGAGCCCAGGAGTTTGAGGTTGCTGTGAGCGAGGCTGACGCCACGGCACTCTAGCCCAGGCAACAGAGCAAGACTCTGTCTCAAAAAAAAAAGAAAAGAAAATTAATGGGAAAATGAAGTAAAATAAACCCAAAAGCAGAAGGAAAACAGAAAACATGCAAGGAAAGCTACAAAGCCACTCCTCTCCTCACTCTTCCTACTGGATCTCACCCACATCCACATACTGAACCACTTGCTACTCACCTCTATGACTTGCATTTCTTTCTTTTTTCTTTCTCTCTCTTTCTCCCTCTCTCTCTTTCTTTCTTTTTTTAGAGACAGGGTCTCGCTCTGTCGTACAGGGTGGTGTAAGGAAGTGAGCACTCAGATCAAGGATCTGGTTACCTCAAAGCCCCCCAACCTCGACTTCTACCTCCACAGGGCTATGACGTCATGGCAGGCACATCAGAGCCCAAGAGAGATGCAAAGGTGGTTTTTCTGCTTTCTATGATGCAATCATTCAGCGATGAGCTCACTGCAGCCTTGAACTCTTGGATTCAATGGATCTTCCCACCTCGGTCTCCCCAGTAGCTGGGACAACAGATGTGCCACCACGTCTGGCTAACTTTTTAAATTTTTTGTAGAGACAGGGGTCTCACTATGTTGCCCAGGCTGCTCTCAAACTCCTGGCCTCAAATTATCCTCCTGCTTCAGCCTCCGACAGTGCTGGGATTATAGGCATGAGCCATCACGCCTGGTGACTTGCAATCCTGTATCACTGGCCCAGAATTCTCTCCAACCCTCATATCCAACTGTCTATTACATTTGCCTTTGGATGCTCCACAAGCACCATCAACTCAACTTGTACAAAATTAAACACACCATCTATCCCCCATTAACTCACTGAGCTCCTAACCCCACCAACCACCCAGTCTGTCAACTAGAAAATCTGAGAATTATCCTGGACTCCTCCCACTTCCTCACTCTCCACATCCCCCACTCATCCCTCACTCCCTACCACACTATCTTAATTTAGGCCTTCACTAGTTCTCAGCTGCAATATCTTCCTAATTGATCTCCGTGCCTTATCCACTACCTCCAATACACCATTCCCTCTCCTGTTTAACATTCTCTACCAGCTCACCGCCTGCAGTGTAAGACAGAAACCTTGACGTATAAGGCCTGTCATGATCTGAAGGCTGCCTGCATTCCCAGAGCTGTGTGCTCGAACCATCCCCCATGACTCAGTTTCCCCCAAAGCTTTGTTCTTCCATCTTCATCATCTGGCATGCCCTCTACTGCCTGAGGGACTCTTTTTTTTTATTTTCTTTTTTTTTTTGAGACAGAGCCTCACTCTGTCACCCTGGCTAGAGTGCCGTGGCATCAGCCTAGCTCACAGCAACCTCAAACTTCTGGGCTCAAGCGATCCTTCTGCCTCAGCCTCCCGAGTAGCTGGGACTACAGGCATGTGCCACCATGCCCGGCTAATTTTTTCTCTATATATATTTTTTAGTTGTCCAGCTAATTTCTTTCTGTTTCTAGTAGAGACGGGGGTCTCGCTCCTGCTCAGGCTGGTCTCAAACTCATGAGCTCAAACGATCCACCCGCCTCGGCCTCCCAGAGTGCTAGGATTATAGGCGTGAGCCACTAGGCCCCGCCCTGAGGGACTCTTAACAGAGTCTGTAGCATTCTCTGTGGCACCAGAGTGCCTGGTCCACTGCCCGTCCCAAAAAGGCCTAACGCTTGCTGAACGGCTGGCGCACCGCCTGAGTGACTGAGTGACAGGGGACTTCAGGAGTGCCTGCGAAGCAGGGACGGGATGTCTAGCGGTCCCACTGACGCCCCTCACCAGCTGCCGGTCGGCCACAGTCCGGTCAGGCACCAGGCTGTACACCTGGCTCCTCAGCACGATGGGCGGCAGCGCATCCTCAAAGAGGCGTCGCGGGAACAGCTGCACTAGCTCCGAGACTGCCGCGCGCGCCGACCCTGGGCAGAGAGACCGGGTCACCGAGAGGAGGGGAGGGGCCAGAGAGACCGGGTCACCTGGGGCGGGGAGCGGGCCAGCTACGGGGGCGCCGGTCTCGCCACAGACGTGACCACCCAAGGCAAGGCCCCGCCCAACTGGGGCCCTTAACCCCGCCTCGGGTTGCCATGGTTACCTGACTCGCCCCCCAGAGGCTCCGATTCTACAGGCCCTCGCTCCCGCCGCCTCTTCAGTCCAAAGGTCTCCGGGACCAGGCGATGCCTCTTCCGGCTCATAGCCGGGGATTTTATGGGACCGGGGAAGGGGTAGAGGGTGAGGGAAGAGAACGTGAAAATAGGGCCTTCCGGCGCGGGGCAGTAACGTACGGACGCCTCCGGGCGTCCCCCCCTGTGTACTAGACTAGGTGACTCAGTGTAAGTACCACGACGTGATGACGAAACAGGCGTCAACTGGGCAGCTCTCAGGCCCTTGCCGGGAGGGGCGGTACCAATGCGGATACCCGCACCTCCTCGCCCGGTCGCCGCCCCACGCCTGCCGCTGATTGGCTCTCTCCGAGGGCACTCACGTCCGGGGACACGTGGGCGGTGCGGACGCGCGGCGGTGGCCTGGTTGGGATCGACCTCCCGGTGTAAAGATCGCACCGGTACCGCCCCCCGCCCCGGAGGGGTTTGCCCGCCAGTGTCGCTGAATGATTGCATCATCGAAAGCAGAAAAACCAACTTTGCATCCCCCGTGGGCTCCGATGTGCCTGCCATGACGTCATAGCCCTGCGGAGGCGGAAGTCGAGGTCGCGGGGGATTTGAGGTAACCAGATCCTCGATCTGAGCCCAGACTTCCTTGCTAAGCTCACTGCATTTGGAGGATGGGGTGGGGGAGGAGCACGAAAAGAGGTGGGATGAGCAAGCGCTTGGCCGTGGTTGTGTTTGAGGGCCTGGGGGCCTGCGTGTTTCAAGGCCGAAGCCTGGCGATTAGGAGGCTCGCTTAGTCCTGCCTCAGAGTCACCCTTCTCCAGACCTCCTCTGTAAAATGAAAACTACCCCCCTCCTCTCAGGACCTCATGGAGCCCAGAGGGACCAAGAGAGGAGCTGAGAAGATAGTGGTAGCTGAATCCCGGAACAAACTGCCCCGTCTAGCACCCTCACTGCCCACAGACCCCGCCCTCTACTCTGGGCCCTTTCCTTTCTACCGGCGCCCTTCAGAACTGGGCCGCTTCTCCCTGGATGCGCAACGCCAGTACCATGGAGATGCCCGAGCCCTGCGCTACTATAGCCCACCCCCCACCAACGGTCCAGGCCCCGACTTTGACCTCAGAGATGGATACCCTGATCGATACCAGCCCCGGGACGAGGAGGTCCGAGAAGGGCTGGACCACCTGTTACGCTGGCTCCTGGAACACCGTGGCCAGCTGGAGGGGTGAGCGAAGCATAGCACACAGCAGTTCTGGACATCTGCACCTACCCTCTAAAATTAAGAGCCAAAGCTGGGGTGAGAATCAGTCCTTGGAATGAACTTAGGCTGTTCTTTGGGGGACCATCTGACTAATGCTTGTGTCAGATCTTTAGCCTCTAATGTCCTCCCTCTCAGGGGTCCAGGCTGGCTGGCAGGGGCTGTAGTGACATGGCGGGGGCACCTGACAAAATTGCTGACAACACCGTATGAGCGGCAGGAGGGCTGGCAGCTGGCAGCCTCCCGGTTCCTGGGGACACTGTACCTGAGTGAGGTAGAGACACCGGCTGCTCGGGCTCAGAGGCTTGCTCGACCGCCCCTCCTCCGGGAGCTTATGTACATGGGGTACAAGTTTGAGCAGTACATGTGTGCAGGTGAGAGTTGCTCCCACTCAGTAGCCCGCTTCCCCCCCAGAGATTGAGAGCCCCCACCCCTGCTGCTGCTTCTCTCCTTGTGCAGACAAACCTGGAGGCTCTCCAGACCCCTCTGGAGAGGTTAACACCAACGTGGCCTTCTGCTCTGTGCTACGCAGCCGGCTGGGAAGCCATCCTCTGCTCTTCTCAGGGGAGGTAGACTGCACAGACCCCCAGGCCCCATCTACACAGCCCCCCACCTGCTATGTGGAGCTCAAGACCTCCAAGGAGATGCACAGCCCTGGCCAGTGGAAGAGCTTCTACAGGTTCAGGATAGGGGTGGGCAGGGCAACAGCCTAGAATTGATGGCTAGGAAAGGGACTTGGGGAGGAGGGTCCCACTGACAGCTTGCTTTTTCTCACAGACACAAGCTTCTGAAATGGTGGGCTCAGTCCTTCCTCCCAGGTGTCCCGAGTGTTGTTGCTGGCTTCCGTAACCCAGAGGGTTTTGTCTGTTCCCTCAAGACCTTTCCTACCATGGAGATGTTTGAATACGTCAGGGTAAGACAGTGATGTTACAGCTCCCACCTGCATCCCTCACACACCAAGACCATGGGTCCAACATCCAGGGCTGCAGTCTGCCTTCCCCTTCTCCCACCCCCACCCTCACTGCCAGTCTTCTCCCTTCTCCTCTGCCCACTCCAGAATGACCGTGATGGCTGGAATCCCTCTGTGTGCATGAACTTCTGTGCCGCCTTCCTTAGCTTTGCCCAGAACACAGTTGTCCAGGATGACCCCAGGTGAGGCGTTCAGCTCTGTCCCTGCCCTTTGGGTTGCAGGAGCTCAGCCTCCAGCCGTCAATCCATGCCTCAATCTGCTCCCCCAGGCTCGTCCACCTCTTCTCCTGGGAGCCTGGTGGCCCAGTCACGGTGTCTGTACATCGAGATGCGCCCTATGCCTTCCTGCCCATGTGGTACATGGAAGCCATGACCCAGGACCTCCCGTCACCCCCTAAGACTCCCTCCCCCAACTACTGATGCTTTGGAGGGGGTGGTCCAGTCTCTAAATAATAATAAAGGTATATTTAACAATAAAGGTATATTTGCAAGTGGTTCTCTTAGTGTGTCTTCTTAGCTGAGTCATCCCCATCCAATACATCAAGCACACACGGTGGTCTGCTGTTTTATTATCACATTTTTACACAGGGCTCATTCACTGGGTGTAGAGGCTGGCTGCAAACACAATGTCCCGCCGTAGCAGGGTAGCCGCTGTCTCCATCTTGGCACCCAGCACAGGCTCTCCTACCAGGCGGGCTGCCCCCCGCAGCGAGCGGCACATCTCAGCCAGGCGCTGGATGCAGCGGACCACCAGGCCCTCAGGGGTTCCCGAGAGCCCTGCCAACTCAGAGAAGGGCTGTGGAGAGAGCAGGTGAGAACTGACGTGCTCTGCCTGGGCAGCCTCTCCCCAGGCAGCTGTCTGTAAAAACCCCAAACCCTACGTACTCACCATGCCCCGGGCCCACTCGTACACAACCTCCACCAGCCCAAAATTCAGCTCCCCAACAAATTCCTCCACTGTCTGGTTCAGGCCACAGGCCACCTGGACCTCACCAATGCGCCTGGCCACAGCCCGGACACGTTCTACCCCCTGCAGAGGGGGAAGGAGAAGTTAATGCCTGCCTTCCTGCTCTAAGACAGGGGAGGCCCAGATGAAGGAAGAGGCCATTCTCACCCTTGGGGCACTGACAGGGCTGGAAGGGGTCACCTGGGAAATACCTGGGGGAGGGGGGTGGGAATGCAACATCCCAGGCAGGGAGAGAAGGGTGATGTCTTCTACCTGCTTGAGAGTGTTCGGGAGCTGATCCCCAGGGTCCCCAGGGCTCTGGCAGACCAGCCCGGAGAGCAGGGCTGCGATCTCCTCGGGCCGCAGGGCGCTCAGCGCATTGTCAAACATGAGCTCAGTAAGGAGTAGCTCGTGGCTGCTCATGGCACAAGCCACCCGCCCTGCCAGCTTCACGGTGCCCGCCTCATCCACGTAACCCAAGGTTCGGAGCACCTGCCAGAGAATGGGTGGGTGTTGGGGAGGCTGCTGTCTTCCACCCTAGCCCCCGGCCCCCACTCCTGCTCCTCCCACCTCTACTCGCTGGTGGTACTCGGGGAGCAGCAGCAGCGACTGATCCGACAGTAGGAAGCGCAGCCGCTCCATCTCCTTCTGTATCTGCATTCGCTCCCGCAGCCTCAGGTACTGCAGAGAGCCACCCATCAGCCTTCTTGCGCCTCAGCAGGGGTGCACTGAGGACAAGGGCTGAGAAAGGGGCAGCAATCTACAGGGACCAGAGAGGAAGAGCCCTTCCTCTCAGCTTGGGAGCTGGCATCCAGGGCCCTACCTGGGCAGGAAAACGGGGGCTGTGCACACACTGAGCCCCCCGGATCAGCTCCTCCAGCTTCCGAGCCCGGAGCCCACCCTCCACAACAGACACATCCTTGAGCTGCAGGTCATTGACAGGGTCGAGGGTGGGCGGTCCTGCTGGGTAGGCCTGAGCCAGGCGCAGCAGTTCCTGGACAGCAGTGGTCACAGCTGCGAGGGGAGGATCCTTCCTGAAGAGACAACAGGTCTTGATCTCTGGAATAAGAGGCTTCTCTCCCATAGAAGTACCCCCTCAGGCTGCGGGAGACCCTTTCAAATGCCCCCCCCCACACTTCATGGTCTCCCTCAGTCAGGCTGGGGGAGACCCCCACCTGCTACCCCATACTACATGCCCCTCCCAGCAGCTCTGACTTGAATTTCGGCTGCTGCCTCTTGCTGAAGTCCTCCAGGATCTTCTCTCCATTCACCCGGAGCACCTTGGTGGTGATGGCAGCCACGTCTCCTGGCTGGAGCTTGGTCACAGCGTGGTCACAGGGCCCTGCAAAAAGGGGAGAACATGTCAGAGTTTGCCACGGACCCAGGCATCCTGCTTACACCGCCGTCAAACCCGGACATCGGCCTCACTCTCACCTTCAGGCAGGAACAGCTTGAATCCCACGAGGTCATCTGGGTGGGGGACATCTGGAGTGGCTGGCCTCCCGTCCTGTGGGTCCTGAGACACGGGCTTATCACACAAGACCAGGGTTGTGAATACTCTGCTGGTGGAGTTTGAGGAGACCTGAGGGAGTCAGGGAGGCCAGGAAAGGGGATGTGAGGAGTAGACATTAAAGGTAGAGACCAGACCCCCACCCTCGGGCAGGGATCAGGAAGACCGTGCAGAGCTCCAGTCGAGCAATCATAGCAGACCTCCCGAGGGGAGGGGAAGGTGGTGAGCATGAAGAGGTGGTGATGGGCAGGGGTGAAAGGAGGGCAAGGGGGAAAAGTGGGAGCCCCGTGGCGACTGCAACCTGCCCCTAGCCAAGTGGGGAGACGGCAAGAGGGCTTGCTGTCTCCCACCCTCTGGGGTCCAAACTCCCTCACCTGCAGGATCACACCCAAAGCGCTGTGATGCTCCTGATTCTTCACCACCACCACCCTTCCCGCTGAGAGAGATTTCAGCCCATTCACAGACTCTACAATGTGTCGCTGAAGAGCAGGGAAACAGGAGGAGGTGTCACAAGGACAGACACCTGGGCTAATTTCAGGAGCACCCAGAGTGACACGTGCTCTTCCTCCCTTCCCCCATCATCTCCCCAACATTCACACTTTTTTTTTATTTGAGACAGCCTTGCTCTGTTGTCCAGGCTAGAGTGCCGTGGCGTCAGCCTAGCTCACACCAACCTCAAACTCCTGGGCTCAAGCCATCCCTCTGCCTCAGCCTCACAAGTAGCTGGGACTACAGGCTCACGCCACCACGCCCAGCTAGTTTTTCCATTTTTAGTAGAGACGGGGGTCTCACTCTTGCTCAGGCTGGTCTTGAACTCCTGACCTCAAGCCATCTTCCCGCCCCGGCCTCCTGGAGCGCTAGAATTACAGGCGTGAGCCACCGCGCCCAGCACC